CATTGGGATAAAAGGGCTTGTTTGTGTAGCAGGTTTGTGCGCCCATAACCCCCCAGGCGAACTCGCCTGTAACCTCCTATGATCAATCGGGCATCCACAGTGCAGATCTACTGACACCTCCCCACACTAGGAGGCCCAGGATTGAGCACAACGGCAACGGCCTAAACGTGCATACACCGGGATTCGAACCCGAGACCGCTCTGATACCATGTCAGAATCCCAACCACTAGACCATTGGGATAAGAGGGATTTTTAAGTAGCGGGCCAGTGCGCTCATAACCCCCAGGACAACGAGTCTGTAACCCTTCCCTAGGATCAATCGGGGATCACCAGTGGACCTCTGACACCCCACCGCACTGGGATGCCCGAAGTGCAGACACTGGGATTCGAACCCGAAACCTTCGCTCTGATACCATGTCAAAATCCCAACTACTAGACCATTGGGATAAAAGGGCTTGTTTATGTTGCGGGTTTGTGCGCCCATAACCCCCAAGGCGAACGCGCCTGTAACCCCCCTAGGATCAATCGGGCATCTACAGTGCAGATCTACAGACAGCTTTAACTGCTGTTGCGGTTCGATACAGCGACGACTCGGGTAACTGCTCAGTAGCGAGTCAGTTATTTGTCCTTGCTGTCGCGCTGCCTTTGTCAAGTCAAAGGTCGCTGACTTTTGACCTTCGCTTCAACCTCCTGCTGTTGTCACCTTGTCAACCCCTTTGGTTGACTCGGTGTTGCCTCGCTGTGAGTATGCTTCTCTTTTGTCATAGTGCTCGATACTTCAGAAGCGTTAACTAAACGTTTCCAACAGGGTTGACCCACGTCAGTAGCGGTCAACACAGTTGCCGAATCAGCAGCAGTCGTCCTCTTCTGGGGAGCACTCGCCGTTTCTTCTGAGGGGGTGCAAAGGGTGCCTCCGAGCAGGAGGTCGATTGCCGAAGGACCCTCGCTCGAAATTTCTTCAATGGGGCGTTTTTCGCGACTATCGGTTGCCTCGGCTAGCGTTGAAGTTTCCGCCGCGATACTGGGTTTCGAAGTGTTATCGTTGTCGCGATTAAGAGTCGTGTTGACCGAAGCCATTGTTGCGAGGTTGAGTTGGATGATGTCGGTAAGGAGTGTTGTCGGGGCCTTGAAGCGCGGAAGTGATTGTGTATTCGCCAGTGTGGACGAGAACGAGAAATTGAAACTACAATTACCGTAGAAATGAAAAACGCGAGTGAGGGCGAATGGCCTCACGACCCTCTTTTGTAGGCAAAAGAGGGTTTGTAGCACTTCGGCGCTACCTTTGATGTGTTGGCCACGTACCCCCTTTCACAATACAGAATCTTATGAAGTGTTACACTTTCAAATTTTATAATTTCTGTGTGATTTGATATGCATTTCGTTGTTACCATTGGACCCATTCGTTGATAATCCAGGCAGGTTCGACTCCTAGGTGACGACGACAACCCTGCTGCAAGACCACTGTGGCATGCCAGCAGGCCAGCATGACACCACCAAGTCATTATTCTAGCTTTCCAGCGTTGCAAGAACGACCCGGCCACTCCACATGCAGGCGCAACTCCTTCTCCACACGTGCCTTCACCTGTGCATGCACACCGGCGTGCTCTGGCTGCTGCAGACACTGGCAAGTTCGGTGAGGACGGTGGGCGAGAGGAGCGGGAGAAAGTTGAGGAGGTGGATTGGGAGAGGGGTTTCGTGGTACGCAAGCTTGAGCATCGTACACAGAGTGTCACCAAGTTGCAAACATCGCAACAGCATGCCATGCCATGTCATTCCTACCCCATTCACTGCCTTGGCAAGGTAAACGAGTTGGCAGAAAAAACAACAGCAACTACTAACACCAGCTGAACATGCCGCACCGAACCTCACACCACACGAGGCAACCTTTCCCCATCCGCCCATCCGCACCACACACCAACCCATCCACACCACACACCAGCCCATCCGCACACAAATATTTCACAAACCTCGTGAAGTTTCTGAAGTAGCTTCCGCGGAATCACCACTTCCTCTCCCCTCCCTCTCTCCTCCCCCTTCACCTCCCCCCCTTCCACACCCCCTCTCTGCTTCAACCCCCCTCCCCCTCGCCCCCCATCAACACCCCCCCGCACCCCTCTTCCCCTTCCACCACCACCTCCCACCTCTCCGCACCCCAAACCCCTCACAAACGAGTACACTGCCGCAGCGTCTGCCGCCCGTTTGTGCCGCACACACGCCGCCAGCACAGCCAGCATCTCCTCCGCAAAAACGGGCGGCGGCGGGCGGGCGGCGAGGAACATCTGCGCCAGCACGAGCATGTCAGCGACGCGCTGGCGGCCCGCCAGGTGGTGCGCTAGCAGCATGGCCTCGCGGGGTGACGTGGCAGGCGAGTAGATGCCCATGCTGTGGCCCCACTTGAGCACGCGCAATGCACACTCGTGCCCGTGATACCCCTCCTGCCCCTCCCCCTGCCCCTGCCCCTGCCCCTGCTCCTGCGCCTGCTCTCCCCCCGGCACCTGCCCCTGCTGCTGCCTCTGCACCTGCCCCTGCTCTTGCCACTGCTGCTGCAGTGCGTCTCCCTCACTTTCCCCATCCACACCCCTCTGCTCCCCCTCCTCCCCTTCAACGTCTAGATGCCCATCCCCATCCGCGTCTCCGCCCCCACCCCCACCCGCATCCCCGCCTCCCCCGCGTGCCCCATACCCGTCCATGTGCATGAGGTGGCGCGCCACCATCGCCACGTCCTCGCTCTCCATCCATGCGCGCTGGGCGTTCAGCAGCCGCATGCCGTGCGAAGCGCGCATCTCCGCGTACGTCCCCGCCACCCACCGCACCTTCTTCTCGCGCCACCGCTTCCCCCCTCCGCCGTCCCGCGCAGCGCTCCCCCCGCCCTGCCGCTGCAGCCATTTCTCGAACGACGGCGACTCCTCTTCTTCTAGGATCCGCTTGTGCCGCACTGCTCGCCTCGCCGCCTCTGCCTTCGGGTGGTGCTGCTGCTGTTCCCGCCCGCCGCTACGGCTCCGCCCGCCCCAATCGTTCCGCCCGCCCCAATCGCTCCGCCCGCCCCGATCGCGCTCGCCCCAATCGCTCCGCCCGCCACTACTGGTCCGCTCGCCCCAATCGCTCCGCTCGCCGCTCCCCCTGCCGCCGCGCGGGCCGTGCGACCCCCCGCGTTGATCTCCCCTGCGGGATGTGCCGGCCGCGGCTCTGTGCGCTATGTCTCGCGCCGGCGCCGACTCTCCGCTGAACCGGATCCATTCCTCCGCGCGCCGGGTCTCCTCGCGCCAGTCCTCTGCCGCGCGCCGGTGCTCCGCGCGCAGGTTCTCCGCCGCGCTGCCCCTGGTTTCCCGATTGTCCCTGCTCCCCCCGCGCTCACTGTCTCGACTGCGGGGCTCAGAATCCGCGGAGAGGTGCGCGGAAGCACTGAATTGGCGGAGCGACGGCGGAGTCCCTGTCGCTGGCGTAAGCACGCAGGGCGAATGCGGAGGAGGCGGAAGCAGCGCGTGATCGTGCGAGGCGGCGGAGGGGCGGGGGAGGTTGCGCGTGTGCGAAGGGAATCGCGGAAGAAACGGCGGCTGTGTGCGGGCGGACGCGCACTGACGTGGAATATCGCGCGCAATCAGACGGTGGTCGTGCGGAAGTGCGGGAGATGGCGAGGCCGGGGAGAGGATGGCGGATCCCGCGGCTAAAGACGGCAGCGCGCGGGGCGGCGACGTGAGCAGACGGCGACAGGCAGTGGTGAGACGGCCGAGAGCCGACCGCGGACTAGACATGGGACGAGCCGGCCGGCGAGACACCGCGTGCTCCCGACTGGAAACACCCGAAACGTTTACCGATCCAGTTCCGGTGCCTTACAAGGCGAATGTTAGGGCGTGTGCCTTTTTTGATTTTTTTTGTGTTTTCGCGGACAGTCCACTTGTATCGAAGCGGACGGTCCCAATAGCGGGTACCGGACAGTCCGTTTTGAAAATTCGAAACTGCAGACTGTCCGAAGGCAAAAACGGACTTTTCTCTACTTCTGAAACTACCGAAGTACTGTGGACTCGCTAGAGCTACTGTACCATCGTAACCCCAGTCACACACTCTCTCCAGTTTCGCTCACCACACGGCGGCTCGATTTCAAACATTCACCTGCGCTAGAGTGCTCCATTGCAGGCTGGTTGTGAGGGTTCAGTTCGGATTGCTGGGGGCTTTGTAGTTTTGGTGGGCTAGGGAGTAATGCGATCGTTCAATGTTCAGGCGCGCGTCGCGGGCCTCAAATAAATTGAACATGCGGCTCGGTTTTTGTTTTTCGAGTCCTTCGCGCGCCAATCCAGTGCCAGAACTGTGCATCCGTCCGTTTGCAATTCGAACTGCCAAAAGTTCAGAATGTGAACCGTTGCTTGGAGGGAAAAGTGACGCGTCAGGTCGAACCGCTGGCGACGTCGCCAATACCTTCACGAAACAGTCACGACAAGTGACGAAACGGGTAACATTTTTGCAAATCGGACGGTCCAGGGTTCGAACCGTCGGGAGCATAAAAGGCACACGCCCTTAGGCGCATGGAGAAGCATCGGGGGCATAGCGGATGCACTAGCAAATAGGTGAAGTGATGGTATGACGGGGCGAGGAGAAATGCCACACCATGCTGCTTTTGCCGTTTCTCAACTTCCAGCGGGGTTGATTGCAACAAAGTCGGCTTCTAAACGTTGTTTGTACGTTTTTGTACGGTGAGAACTCGGGCCAAGCTTGAGCAGAACAAAACCAAGTTTGGTTCCTTGTGAGTTTGAAAATTGCATGAGAATTACGATTACGCGTCAGCCTATTTCGAGGATTTTCAACTGTTTTGCTTGTTTCCCGCCAAAACACTGCCGCAGCCTCATTTCTCCCTCGCGGCAATTTGAACAAAGCACACAACACCCAACACCATCCTCACTACAATCAGATTCAACATAATCGCCTGCAAGCTAATTTGAACAGCCGTGCTCTCGAGCGCATGAGGTAGTCATGGTATTAGAGGCGGCAGCCCCCGGTTCCCCGCAATGGCCACCGCATTTCCCGCAAGCAGCCACACTCGATCGCGGCTCGTCGTCGTGCTCGTCGCCCTATGCGCGTCGTTCCTCCTCCTCCCCCTCTTCTCCTCCCGGACGCTCTCCGACCGCGGTTCGACACCCCCGTTCGCCACGTCATCATCTGACCCAGCAGCTACACTTCAATCGAACCTCAGCCAACTAATCGACTCGCAGCAGCTGATTGGCTCGTTGGTCCCGCAAATAGCGCCAGTCGACGTGTCAGTGCCATCCGAACGTCTCGAGGCGCGAGTGAAAGAGCTTCTGGCCGCTTGGGATCCGACACGTGTCATCTCCCCTTCAACTGAAACGGGCAGAAAAGGGCGGAAAGTGAAAAAGGGACGGAAAAGGCGAGGGAAGAGCGCACAGGGGGACGCTTCCGCCAATTCCACGGAGGGGGAAACAGCTTCCCCGTTAGGCGCATCCGCGGAGGAACCGGGAGGGAGCTGGTGCAAGGGGGAACGGAACTGCTTCCCTCCACCCCGCCAGTCCCCCGCGCGCCGCATCTGGTGGATTGCGCGGAGCGCGCGAGGCAGCACCGCAAGGAGTGGTGGGCGGCGCGGCCGGCGGACGGATCGCTTCCGCCGTGGGCTGTGGTGTGGCGGGCGCGCGAGCATGCGTCGCGAGACCCGCGCGCCTACGAGATGCTTCCGCGGAGGGAGAGAGCGGGGGACAGGGAAGAGGAGGAGAACGGGGAAAAGGAAGAGGGGGAGGGCGGGGAGGATGATGAAGTGGAGAGGGGGAGGGAAGTGAGGGAGAAGGCGCATGGTGGGGGTACAGGTGCTCATGCAGTAACTGCTGCTGCTAGTGGTGGTGGCGCTGCTGCTGCTGCTGCTGCTGCTGCTGCTGCTGCTGAGACTGCTGAGGCTGCTGAAACCTCTTCCCAGCAATTTTCTCTGAGCACGGATGCTGACATCATAGCGGAGGGGCCGTTTCCGCCATGGGTGGAGGGCGAGGAGGGCGGGGAGGGCGGGGAGGGCGCCAACCTGCCGCTGACTCGCCTCGTGCAGACCCACCTGTGGCGCCTCCAGTTCCCCGCCAACTGCTCCCTCCCCCATGTGCGGTGCGCTCGCCCTCCCCCCATCCTCCCTTCCGCCCATCCTCTACCCCCCGATCCCCTCACCTATCCCAATCCCCCATGCAGCAGGCTTTGCTCTCCTGTCCCAACGCCATTCCCTTTTCAAAGCCGTTGTCCCACCAGGGCTGGCCCCTCCCCTCGCCCCCCTGCCAGCGGCGTCAGCTGCTCCCATCGCCTCCGTCCCTCCCCTCGTCCTCTCATTGCCCCCTTTTCCCTGTTGCCTTCCCTATCACATATTCCCACGTCTGCAGGTTCATGTACGCAGCGTTTGAGCGCCGGCGGCGAGACGGCTTTGAAAAGCAGCTGGCATACATGGCGGCAGCACTGGGGCAGGCGGTGCAGCAGGGGCGAGTGCTGGTGGCGCGCACTTACGATCGCGCCCAGCACGCAGGGTGTGAAGGGGAGGCGAACGCGCAGTGGCACTGCTACTTCCTCCCTGAGACGTCTGATGAGTGCCGCAGGTGAGTGAAGGGCGGATTGAGGGGTGAGAGGATGGGCGAGGGAAAGGCTGAGAGGAGGGCTGAGTGGAAGGCTTACTGTGGGAGTGGTGGCGGCGGGATTAGGGCAGGCAGGCGGTGCAGCAGGGGCGCGTGCTGGTGGCGCGCACTTACAACCGTGCGCAGCACGCGGGGTGTGAAGGGGAGGTGAATACGCTCTCAGATGTCCCATGTGTGTCACATTTGAGGTGGGGGAGGAGTGCACTGCACTCCTCCCCACTGCACTGCACCCAATACCCACCCTGCTTCACCCCACCCTGCTTCACCCCACCCTGCTTCACCCCACCCTGCTTCACCTCACCTTCTCCCAATTCCTTGCCCCTCACCCTCATGCCTCATTCCCTCCCACTCTCCCCCTCCACCTTCTCCCCACAGATGGGTGAAAGTGCTATCAGAGCTTCGCTTCTAGCTATCCCTACCCCTAGCTAAGTTGGAATGAACGCGTTTAGCATTTTGTACGCTCTCGTATATACGCGAGAGTATATACGCTAGACGCTGGCCATGAGGGGTCTGGTACGTGTTAAGAAACAGGAATGGAAAGTTAGAAATGAGAAAGAGAGGTTTGGACTAGCAAGCAGTTGAGTACATATAGCAAACCCTAAGTTAGGCTGTACTCACTATTGAGTACCCCACTGCAGGCTAGACAAATATAACATTCTGACACACCCCCATAGCCAAAATGGGGTGTAATCAGCACAACAAGCAAAGTAAAGCAAAGACAAGCTCAGGGTGGATCACAATGTCACCACACATTCTGAGCACAAGTACAAGAAGTGACAGTTTATAGAAGTGACAGTACTTCCCCACAGATAAGTAAAGCTAGAGGCTATCACAGAGGGTAAGTGAGGAAGAGGAGGGACTATGAGAGGAGAGGAGATAGTGGGCGGCAGCTGAAGCTGCTGGCACACGGCGCAACTGGAGCAACTGGCACACGGGCAACTGGAGCAACTGGCACACTGGCAACTGGAGCAACTGGCACACGGGCTACTGGAGTAACTGGCTCCGCGGCTAACTCTGAGCGGCAGGAGCAACGGACCCACGGGCGACTGGAGCAACGGGCTCACGGGCAACTGGAGCAACGGGCTCACGGGCGACTGGCGCAACGGTCTCACGGGCGACTGGAGCTGCGGGCTTCACGGCGGCCACCCCCCTTCAACCTCCCCAAACTGTCCCACCCCTAGGTTCACTCACACTCCACCCCCTAGCACCACTCCGTCGGCTCCCACACACCCACCCCCCTCAGCGGCAGCTGCAGCAGTGGGAGACGGAGTAGGAGGAGGAGCAGGGGAAGCCACACACCCTCCACTCAGCTGTCACCCCCATACTCGCCACCCCAAACCCCAACACTGGGTAGGGCCGGGCAGGGCAGGGCCGGGACAGGGCCGGGGACGGACGGCAAGGCCGGGCAAAGCAGGGCCGGGCAGGGCCGCGACGAAGACGGGAGGGGCCGACGCGGGGCCCCCTTCTATCGCGCCCCCCCCCAGGGCGCCGCGACGGGCGACGGGAATTGGGGCCGCGCGGGCCCCCGTTGGTGCCGCGGCGGGCGACGAGGGGGGGGGCGCGCACGAGCCCCCCGGGCGACGACACCGCCGTGCGCCCCGGGGCGCGCGACGGGCAGGGCACCGCCGCGCGCCACGGGGCGCACGACGGGCAGAGTAGGGCGTCGCGCGGCCCCCAGGGCGGCGCGACGGTCAGAAAACCGCCGCGCGCCTCGAGCGCGCGGCGGGAAGAAAAATGGCCGCGCGCCATGGGCGCGCGGCAGGCAAGCAGGCAACGCGCGCCCGAGGCGCGCGATAGACAGAGTAGCAGTAGCGGAAGTATTGGGTGGGCCCATCCACAGGATCGACCCGTGAAGGTCGACCTGCTCTGATTCCATGTTAAGAAACAGGAATGGAAAGTTAGAAATGAGAAAGAAAGGTTTGGACTAGCAAGCAGTTGAGTACATATAGCAAACCCTAAGTTGGGCTGTACTCACTATTGAGTACCCCACTGCAGGCTAGACAAATATAACATTCTGACAGTACGCACAAGAATACGCTTGCTCGGGCAGGGAAAAACTTTTTCCCGGGCAAATTTTTGGGGTAAGAGGTGGGGATGGGGGGGTGATGTAACCCCCATCCCCTTTTTATTAATATGAAAGTTACAGAAAAAAAAACCCGTAAAACTAATTTACCACTACATCTTCACCACATTCATGCTACCACCCCTCCCCCTACTCTACATATCCTTCCTTAATCCCCCGCCTGCCGCTCATGCATGGAGCTTTCCGCTAGTACTCATCGGCCATCACATCATCCTCCCCCACCTCAGGTTCTTCCACCTCCTCGACGTTGTAGCCAACCGGAGTGGGGGGGTCCTCGATGTTTCCTTTCACCACCCGCTGCCCTTCAGGGACCTTGTGCCAGTTATGCACAAGGTACGTACACGAGGTCCCAAAGCTTCTCCGCGCCGAGCCGGTTCCGGCGTGCCGTATGCACGGCATCAAACTTCGCCCAGTTCCGCTCGCATGGTGACGCGGACACCAGCTGCGTGAGGGCGCGGCAAGCCATGGTGGTGAGCTCCGGATGATCGGTCACGTGCCACGACCACCAGGCCACCGCGGTCATCTTGCCCTCCTTCACTGCCTCACGGTCGGCAAGAGCGGCGGGCATGCCGAAGCTGCCTTGGAGGTTGAGGAAGGCATTGAGGCCTTCCTGGATGACGAGAGAGGCGTGGCGCTTGACCTCGTCCTTCCTGGTGACTGTCTGGTCGCCGTAGTGCTTGGACACGTACTGCTTGAAGACCCTCGTGCACTCCAGGTCGGTGCGGAAGATGTCCTCTTACTGGTTGGTCGGGTTGAGGATGCGGCCAACCACGTGCATGTTGCACGCCAGCCCATTGTTCCAGCGGTCCTGCACGATCTTCCGAATCTCCCCCACCTCTCCCCTTGACAGGACCCCTTCCGCATGCTCGTCGAGGAAGTCGCGGATGTCCTCGGTGAGCTGGAGCATAAGGTCGTAGAGACGACCCATCATGCCCTTCGCATCCGAGTCAGTCTTGCGCATGACGACGAAAGGGAGGTTCATCAGCTTCGCGAAGAACTCGGCGCGCGTCCACCACGTGGCATCGAGGATGTTGTCTTTGAAGGTATCTGCCCCAACCCTCTTTGCAGTCGTTGTCCACTCGCGCCACTCATCGCTGAGGACCATCTGCGTCAGGCCGGCGCGCACTTCACAGAGGCGGTTAATGGCGATGTAGTTGGTGCCGAATCGGGTTCCCGCGGGCTTGAGAACCTGCTTCCCCTTGCCGTCGTTCACGAGCTCGCTCCGCATGTATCCACGGGTGAAGTGATGGTTGCGGAAGAACGAGATGAGGGTGTCCCCGCGCGTGACGATGTCCTTCGCCCATCCCATTTTCCCGATGTCCTCCATCAGGAGATCAAGGACATGGGTCGCGCAAGGGATGTGTTCGATGTGGGGATACTCCGTCATCAACTCCCTGCATGCCGCCGCGTAGTTGGAGCCGCCGTCAAAACACAAGGCGACGACGCTCTCTGGGCCAACTTTCTCGATGATGGGGCGCAAGATGCCCGCGATGTAGCTGGTCTTCATCTCCATCTTGGTGTCGATTGACTCCACAACACCGCTCCGCTATCGTTGATGAGGAGCACATTGGCTTGCAGGCAGCGGGATGTAATTCTGCCCGGTGCGCTGGATGCTTGAGACTACATTCCGCCACAGTGGGTGGTCCGCGTGATGCTCCGGCAGGTGAAGAGCGGCGAAGAAGAGGCATATGGACTCGTCCGCAGCTTGGTTTGCGCAGGCGGCGTCGTCGCCGTAGAAGTCGGACATTCGACTCTTCTTCTTGTCCGAACCTCCGCCGTTGACTGCGCCGACCGCCGCAATTTCAGGCGCACGCTTCGCTTCACGGGCCTTCAACTTGGACTCGTAAAGCACCTTCACGGCGTCACGTGCAGTCTTCGGCGCTGCAGTGCAGAGATGCACTTCGCGACGGCGCATGCCGTTCCAGCCAGTGATATGCTGCGCGCAGCGGTTAACCCTGCCAGCGAACTTGAAGTTGCAGTGGGCACACACCTTGTTGCCGTTCTCGCCAACGCTGTCGGCCGGCACTTTGAAGTGGCGGTACACAGCGTGCTTGCTGTCCATGCAGACCAAAGCCGTAACAGAAGAGGTCCCTCCAGCGGAACTACCAAGAGCCTCTGAGGGTGTAGAACGTTAACTTGTTGCAGTAGGAGTAGCAGCCATGGTGGCTGGGGAGAAGAGGTAGCTAGAATAGGAAGCGAGAGAATGAATATCGAGTGAACAAATGCCACTCTTTATGCCTGGGAGATTGGGTTGGGTTGAGCTCCCAACCAATAAAGTAGCGGTTGAAAGGGTTGGTGGAATGCTGTGGTTTAAAGGGGTGTGAAACGGTGGAGGGGTGGGGTTGAGGAGGTTTGGAGCTCAAAATTCAAAATTCGAGTTCAGTTCGCGACATCTGCGACTCGAAATAGAGATCGCCACGTCGCAAGCTTCAGATTGATTTTTTTTTTTTTCGGTCTGCCCGAAATTCAACTCGGCGAATTTTCAAGTTATACGCAGCGTACGAATTCGTTAAGCGTTTAAACGCAAAACGCAAAAGCAAAGTAGCGTATATTCCAACTTAGACCCCTGGTCCCTGTGTTTCCTAACCCTCTCCCCCTCCGTCCCCCTCCTCTCTCCCCCTCCCCGCCCCTTCTCCCCACAGGCGGGTGAAATCTCTATCAGAGCACCCTTCCAGCTATGTGGGGCTGAACGGGCCCGCTTATAGTCACGAGGCGTAGAGTCACAGAGGCGCCGTTGAAGGTGACTTCTGAGTCGACTCACAAGGCACCCCTCCCCTCCCCCTTCTCCCCACAGGCGGGTGAAAGCCCTGTCAGAGCTGCCTGCCAGCTATACCGGCCCAGACCCCCTTATAGTCACGGGGCGTAGAGTCACAGAGGCGCCGCTGGAGGAGTGGGGTGAGGGTGAGGGGGACGAGGGTGACGCTGACGTGGCAGCTATGGATAACCCAGCCAATCAGAGTCCAGCTGAGGACAGCTCGACCAATGAGGGCTCAGAAGAGGCGAAACCAGGCAGGCCCAGGTCAGCAGCAGAGTATTTTCGACTGGAGGTCCCGAGGGCGTGGGGGGAGCCTTGGCGGGATATGGTGGGGCGGGTAGGGGAGCCATGGGGTGTTGGGGGAGTAGGAGCGGGAGAAGAGGCTGTGGGGGGGAGAGGAGGAGGGGTAAGGGTTGAGGAGCATGGGAGTGGGGGGGGCAGAGGAAGAGACGGTGGGGCGAATGGAAGCCAACTGGATCCAAAGCAGCTGAATCGGTAAGATGTGAGGAAGATGAACGAGCGGTGTGTGAATCTGGCGTCGAGCACATCAATTTCTTCGAATCGCAGGATGCACTGCAATCAAGCTGTTTGGCTCCTTTGAGAATCCTCACGTGATTTCAACATGGCTCCCATGACCAGGTGATAATAAAAGTGTTTTGAGATGTCTCAAAACTTCATTGAGAATCCTCACAAGTGATTTCAACATGGCTCCTGTGACCAGCATCCCCTCTCCCTCTCCTCCTCTCGTCTCTGCATCTTCTCACTTCTCAACTCTCACCTCTTGCCTATCAGTCGCCAGCAGCCCAGCTTTGCACTCTCCTGCGGCGCCCAGCCACGCCATGCATCCATCCATACCCATCTCCACCCTACCGCACCCTCCTAGCCCGCGAGCCATGCTGCCCCATGCCATACTCACTCCCCTTGCCCCAGGCGCAACAAACCACATCACCAACCCCCTGCCCCCCCCCATCTGCCCGGTCCTCTCCCCCCTCCTCTCCCCAGTACCTGTGGTGGCAGACCCAGGCGCACCAACCTCCACAACCACACCCCGCTGTCCCCCCCCCCCGCCCCCCCCATCCAAATCTCCCCCCACCTCCCTTTTTCTTCCCCCCAGGCTGAAGCACCTGTGGTGGGAGCCCTTATTTCCCCCGTCCTCCCATTTCCTGCACCCCCCCCTTACCTCTTCCTTCCCCATCCTTCCCTTCCTCCCTGCCCCGCCCACTCCCAGGCTGAAGCACCTGTGGTGGCGGGCCCAGGCGCTGCGCTTCCTGCTGCGCGCACCCTCCCCCTATCTCTGCCACGTCAGCAACGTCATCCGGCATGCTGAGTTCGGGCCAATGGCGGCACGGCTGGCCGCGCTGGGGGAAGCTGCTGTGGCTCAGGCTGACGTGGCAGGTGAGGGAGGGAGGGATTGCTAGGTGATAGCATTGCAAATCCTTGTCCCACATGGCTCTTTTTTTTTTTCTCACTCTTCTCCCCTGTCCCACCTCCCCCTCAATTCCACCTCAAACCCCTCTTGCATCTCTCTCATTTCTCATGCCTGTATCTCCAGAATCTCTATCTCTTGCTCATCTCTTTGCTGCTCACCTTCAGAAACGGACACAAGCCAGCAGCAGCAGCAGCAGCAGCAGCAGCAGCAGCAGCAGCAGCAGCAGCAGCAGCAGCAGCGTCAGCAGCAGGGGCGGCAGCGAAGACTGGCAGTGCTGGCGGGTGGAGATGGGACTCCCAGAACTGGCCGCCACAGCACCTCCGGCAGCAAAAGCATCGCCCGCACCTCTTCTGCTACCGATGCCACCACCCCTGCTTCCACTCACAGTGCTTCTTCCACTCCACATGCAGAAAGCTCCTCTGCTATCCAACTCACCCGCTCCTCTATCCAAGACACCCCCAGCATGGAGAATGACCTTTGGCGGCGGCATGGGACGGTGTGGGTGCCACGGCCGCTGGTGGGTGTGCACGTGGGGAGGGCGGGGGAAGGGGACGTGCAGGCAGGCGTGCGGAGAGCTGTGGGTGCACTGTGAGGCAGCAGCTTCCGGCTGCCCGCTTTGTGTGGCTCACTGCTGACGAGCAAGAGGTGAGGAGGAGGTGAGGAGGAGGTGAGGGAGATTGTGAAGGAGGAGGTGAGGAGGAGGGAGGGAGTGGGAGAAGGTGAGGGAGGAGGTGAGGAGGAGGTGAGGCAAAGGTGAGGGAGAAGCTGAGAGGAGGTGAGGGAGAAGGTGAGGGAGGGGTGAGGAGGGGATGAGGGAGAGGTTCAGATTGAGAGAGTAGGTGAGGTCTGCACTTCGTTCTTCCCCCCATCCTGACCTTTTTGCCAATTGCCCATATCGCACCCCCTCTCCTTCTGGTGCCAATGTCATGCGTGCATGCAATCAGGTAAAGCCTCCCCATTTTCCCACCTCTGCACATCACCAAGCACTCTTCCTGATTCATTTCCCCCTCCGCCCATCCACGACCTTCCTCTCCTCCCACCAGCTATTGCAGCTAGCAGCAACCCCAGGGTGGTCATGGTTCTACTCGCACACACCCCCTCCCTCCATCTCCTCCCCTGCTGCTGCTCATCATTAAGCACTCTATTCCGGTTCCCTTTTTCTCCCCCCTTTCCACCCATCCACCACCCTCCTCTCCTCTCCCCAGCCATTGGATCAGTTAGCAGCAATCCCAGGGTGGACGTGGTTCTACTCGCACGCCCTGCCCCTCCACTCCCTCCTCTTCCGCATTCACTCATTCTCTAATCACCTTCCCCCTCCGCCCGTCCACCGCCCCTCTACCCCCCACAGCCACTGGAGCAGCTGGCAGCAACCCCTGGTTGGACGTGGTTCCACTCGCACATGCCCCGGCTTTATTAAAAGCCTAAAAAGCTCCTCCCATTCCACCCGTTCGCCACTCTCCCCTCCTCCCCCCAGCCATTGGATCAGCTAGCAGCAACCCCAGGGTGGACGTGGTTCTACTCGCACACATCCCGCCCCTCCTCCTCATCTGCTGCAGTACCTGCTAAGCAGCAGCAGGCGCTGCAGGAGGTGGTGGGTGAAGCGTTCACGAACCTGCTGGTGGCCCAGCAGGCCGATGTGTTCATCGGGTCAACCAAGTCTCCTCGGTCTTACCTAATCTATGCTCTACGCTGTACTGCTGGGAAGCTTCAGAGCAGCTTCTTGGACTCCGGACTATGAGGCAGGCACCTTGTGCATGGCCCAGAAGTTTTTTCATACCATCAGATTGGGTAGACAAACCGTATTACAGTAGATTTACTAAAGCCCGATGCCCTTTGTGGAGCAAGCAAGTTCAGCTGTCATAGCCGGATTGCCTCCCAATGCACCCAATCCCAGAAGCAAATGCTGTGTTCTGAATCTCATGCTCATATCACCAGCTCACCATGCCGCTGATGCTTTGTGTGGCACTCGTCAATCGAATCGTCACGTCATGCTAAAGTCAGCAGCTGTTGATGTGTTCAGTACGGGACTAGTACCACATGTCATGTCTGTTGAAATGTATTTGTATACATTAATATACTTGCCTACAGTAGATCATACCGTCAACCCCCGGATAGTGGCGCCCCTGGGGGTATATAAAAACACTGTTTTTTAGGGGGTGCGCTTATAATCGAGGAAATTTATAAGTGCCGGCGTTTATAAAATGGCAAAAATGAAATGTATTATAAGCTTTTTCACAAGGGGATTCAATCCACATCTAGAACGTTCGTATCCGTGCATGAAAAGTGCGTGAAATGGATAACAAGGCGTGGAATCACGCCCATCACGCCTTGCTGGCCTGACCAGATTCATCGAACATGAATCTGGCCCATGCTAGCGCACACGTAGTTTAGGGTGCGACTACCCAATCAGGGTCGCATGCCGTGCCAGGCACGACTCTGTACAACCACGCAATTGGCAGCCCCGGCAAGATTCCACTCCACCGAGGCATTGACCTCACCACCTCAGCTCCTCTGCGGGGGGATCTTGACAGTTTTCCCCCTTTCCCTACAGAGGAACCCGGGCCGCGAAGTTGGAGGGGTCTCGGGCGAGGGTTTCAAACGAGGCTCATTCTCTTCGTTTTCTTCAGTTTTCTTGTTTTCCCTCGGCCTGCCTAGGCCATGGCGGCCTTCCAGGCACCCACTTCCTATTTAGCCGTCGACTTGTTGTTGGCAACACTCGCGATTACTCTCAGTGGCAGAGTCGCCCAGCGCCTCCTGCTCCTCCAGCGCCTCCTGCTCCTCCTGCTCCTCCTGCGCCTCCTGCTCCTCCAGCACCTCCTGCTCCTCCCGCTCCGCCTATCGTCGTCGTCAACGGTCGGCCCGTTCTACAGCTCCTCCCTCGCGGTTACTCAGCTTTCGACGCGTACATCTCCGAGCCCGAGCGCAGCGGCGACGATGAGCCCGGCCCCGGTCTGTCACCAGACTGCCCGTACGACGAATCCGCCACAGGTGCTGAAGACGATGTTGAGTGGTGGGCGGCCGACGGTCTTCCCGAGGACCTGCCTGTCCCTAGTTTCCCCCCGCCGAATAAGAAACGGCCCCACCCCTCCAAACAGAATCGTGATGCCCGCCCCCCGTCCCCCGGGAGCAAGCCTTCAACGCACAAGCGCAACTCCTACACTTCCCAGGAGAAGCTGCAGTGGATTGCAAAGTTGGAGTCCGGAGCTGTGAGTGTGCGGAGAATGTCCCGCGACACTGGTATCTCCTGAAAGTCCCTGTCAGAGTGGAAGTCGCGGAAGGGTGAGCTGGAAGGTGCGCATGGGGCTCGCAAGCGCCTTCACGGGCGTGGTCGGGCGTCGTGGTACCGCGACATGGAGATCGAGGTGTACTCACGTGTTCTTGCCCACCGGAAAAAGTGTCTCGCCGTGTCCGTCGGCCGATTCCAGAAGTGGTCACATGATGTGATGAAGATCCTGCATCCTGAGGTAAAGTGGGCTGGATCTCAGAGGTGGACTGAGCGTTTTCGACGGCGCTAGAACCTCACTACCCGAGCGAAGACCAGAGTCGGCTAGAAGCTATCTTCTGGTGAGTCGGTGTTTGTGCTGTCGCTCTCGTTTATGGCTGCTTACGACCTTCGAAATTCTAATTTACTTCTTTTGTTTGTCTCTCCCACCCTTCCCTTGCAGAGTGTGAGACACAGGTGCAGAAGTTCTGGAAGTTCGTGCAACACTCCCGCCGTCAGTACGGCATCGACAACCGCTGGATTATTAATGCCGATCAAACGCCACTCTGGCTCGAGATGCCAGCTGAACGCACGGTCGAGGAGGTGGGGATCCGCTCCGTGCCCATCCGCAGCGGCGGCTATCAAAAATAACGCGTGACGGTGATGCTCGCCTGCACCGCCAGCGGCGAGAAGCTCAAGCCTTGGGTCTTCTTTAAGCGCAAGACAATTCCTAAGGGGAATTTCCCCTCCGGTAAGCCGAGCAGCTTGTGCAGTGACGGTGTCATTTGCATGTGATATTTTTTTTTTTAAATGTGTGATGCTAATCTGTCCGTACGCCTTGTTCGGATGTGCAGATGGACGCTGACGGCGTCCTCGCGTGGCTCGACGGGACGGTGAACCCGTATGTCAACCCCAGGTTCGGAGTACGCGGCAGGAAAGTGATGTTGGTTCTTGACTCCTACCGCGGGCACCTCACTGATGCTGTGAAGGCAAAATTCGGGGAGCTGAACATCGTCCCCGCCGTCATACCAGCTGGCTGCACCTCTGAGATCCAGCCTCTTGACGTCGCGATGAACCGCTCATTCAAAGCAGCAGTCCGCCAACTGTACCAGGAGTGGTTCGAGAGCGAGGGGGTCGACTGCCTGACCGAAAGAGGTGAGCTCAATCTCAACGTGTACGATGTGTCTGCTTAGACTGTTTCCACCCTGTTCTGATTGCTGTAGTGTTTCCATGTGTGGCAGGCAACATCCGCAAGCCACCTCCAGAGCTGACGCTCAAGTGGATCTCCAAGGCATGGAAGGCCGTGCCCAAGGAGTTGATTCAGCGATCGTTTCTCACCTGTGGCATCAGCAACGCCCTGGATGGGTCCCAGGACAATCTCTGCATGCAGCACCGGCGGGACCCCGTCAAGGGTGAAGTAGAACTTGACGACGAGATTGCAGCAGATGGATTCTGCTGCAACAACGTAGAGGAGCCAGAGTCGGACGGGGAGGCCGACCAAGATGGCTCCGCCACTGTTGATGGTGATGCATAGGATGCTAGGAAGAAAAGAATGCATAGGATGCTAGAGAAGGTCAGTGAATGTTGCGGTAAACTATCAGTAGGATTTAGTACCGTAGTAGAATTGGAAAAATATTATGTTGTAGTGAAAATAGCTTGTAAAAGATAGGATAATAATGTGCTGACACACCCCCTAAGTGCATGCAGGAATAGCCATGTGCAGAACACCCCCTAAAGTGGTACACCCTGCAGGGCGCAGCAGAAGAAGAGGCGAAGTGAGGAGGAGGGGGAAGAACTGTGAGAGGAGAGGAGATAGGAGGCGGCGGCTGAAGCTGCAGACACACGGGCGACAGGAGCGGCTGGCACAGTGGCTACCGGAACAGCGCCCCGGACTACTGGAGTAACTGGCTCGGCGGCTACGAGGAGCGGCAAGAGCAACGGACCCACGGGCGACTGGCGTAGCAGGCTCGCTGGGCTACCGAGAGCACGAGGGCCCCGGACTACTGGCGCTGCTGGCGACACGACGGCTACCTCCGTTCAACTTCCCCCATTGCCCCACACCCCCTTCTATAACACTAGCGCCACTCCCTCGGCTCCCCCACACTCCCTCGGCTCCCCCCACACCCTCCCCCCCTCAGCAGCAGCCGCAGCAGTGGGAGAGAGAGAAGGAGGAGGGGCAGCTTACTCACACCCGCCACCCCCAGCTCCCCCCACACTCCCTCGGATTCCCCCACACCCTCCCCCCCTCAGCAGCAGCTGCAGCAGTGGGAGAGAGGCCACCCCCATACCCTCCCCCCCACTGCTGCACGCGCAGCATGGAGATGAAGGGGAAGGGTGGGGGGGGTGGGCGGGGGGGCGGGGTAGGAGGTGCGCGGGCGACAGCAGGGCGCGCTGGCGGGCAGAACCCGTCGCGCGTCCAAGGCGCGCGACGGGCAGAGAACCGTCGCACGCCCGGGGCGCGCGACGGGCAGGAAACTGTCGCGCGTCCGGGGCGCACGACGGGGACGAAATCGCCGCACGCCCGGGGCGCGCGACGAGCAGAAAATCGACGCGCGCCCGGGGCGCGCGACGGGCAGAAAACCGACGGGATCCGAAATCGACGGGAAGAAAACCGACGGGCAGAAAAAACGGGCAGAGGGGCCCATGAGCGGAAGCGTAGTAGGCATAGGATCGAAACACTCTAATACCATGTCAAGATACTAAGCACCTAGGAAACTAGGTTTAGGCTTAGGATGCTTAGTTAGGAGTAGGAGCTAGGGTTTAGCCTTAGGCAAAGTAGAAGTCCAAGCAAAAGGAGTGATTCAACTATAGAATGACAAGTACAAATAGAGGAGAAGCATGCAAGGAGTGGTGCACCACCACACAAGACAATAATGGGACTACACTACAGCTAGAACTACATGCGCTTATACAGAACATATATCAAATATATTCTGACAAAGCTCTCCTCCTGCGCTATTCCTTGCGTCTTCCTTGGCTTTCCCCCTGACGCGCCTAGCTGGCAGTTTTACCACTCCACCTTGCGCCGTGTCCTCCCCTCTCAGGACGTCACGTTTGACGATTCAATTCCCTTTTACCGTCTCTTCCCCTTCCGCTTTGCCCCTCTCCCACCCCCGCTGCTCTTTCTTGCTCCAGGTCCCCCTCCGGTAGACCCCCTCCCTCCTTAGGGTCCTGCTCCCTCAGGTGTGTCTCAGGTAGACCCACTCCCCGGGACTGTGCCTGTAGAGGTCACTGTAGACTCAGGTGCTGCTCGAGGTACTACGTCTGGGGGTGCTGCATCTGGGGGTGCTGCGTCTGGTGGGTACTGAGCTCGCGAATGCGGAGCCTGGGGGTGCTGAGCCTGCGAGTGCGGAGCCTGGGGGTGCTGAGCCTGCGGGTGCAGAGCCTGGGGGTGCTGAGTCTAAGGGTGTGGAGCCTGGGGGTCTTGAGCCAGAGGGTGCAGAGCCTTGGGGTGCTGAGTCCGAGGGTGCAGAGTCTGGGGGTGCTGAGCCTAGGGGTACTGCTTCTTCTAGAGTTCCTACGGGTGCCTCGCCATG